AGTGGGATGCACCCCCATCGGTCTAGGACTAAGAACTTTATATAAGTTCTCCCTAAGGCAACTAACTATCTCCCCATATTTTAATATGCAAACCATCTTTGACCCTCCACCTAGCGCCTTTCTGAATGATTATTCTGGATGCTGCCACACTTCTCCAGCAGTACAACGCGTTAGGTTTTACTGGAGCTTGTAGAAAATCAGTAGTAGGGAAATAACAAGCCTTAAAAACCTTGGCAAAAACAAGAGACTGTGGCTGTTGTATTATTCTCCACCCTTGCTTTGCAAGCAATGCAAGGTTAAAAGCATATAAATCCTTGACGCCAAGTCCGCCCTCACATTTTGTTTTGCACATCTTTTGCCACTTAACCCAATGAATTCTACGTTTACCTGCTTTTCTCCCCCACCAAAATTGCACCACCATTTGGTTTACCTCATCACAAAATGACTTAGGTGATAACAATGTATGCGTTGTATACAAAGGAATTGCCTAGGAGACAGTCTTGATCACAATTTCTTTACCAGCGACACTACTCAACAAAGAACCATGCCAACTATTCAATTTCTTTCATAAATGGTCCTTTATGTATGCAAACATAGCTTTCTTAGACCTTCCAACAAACACCGGCAAACCGAGATAATGTTCATGATACTCCACTCTTTCCATACTGATACAGTCGGCATCCGTGTCCGTTAAATTTCTACTAAAAGCCACACTACTTTTTGACAGATTGACTGCTTGCCCATATGCCATTTCATAAGTTTTCAACAATTCCTTCACCTGTAAGCATTCCTATATAGAACTCCTGGTAAAGATAAAATTATCATCCGCAAAAAGAAGATGATGAATACTTGGCGCCCCATTACTTACTTGGATTCCTTGAATTCAGCCCTGAGCTTCCCACGAATCAAACAACGCGGAAAGGCCTTCTACACATAGAACAAAGATATAATGTTGGATGTAATGTTTGATGTGATATAATGTTAATATGAGAAGTAACATGTGACCATATCAAATGACTAAAAAAGACATAATATTGGATGTGATATAATAATTTTTTATTTATCACAATGGCGCCATCACAATCCCAACCTTACCCAACCACCCAGACGCTCATCCGTCCGAAATCTGAATAAGTGTGGTCGAGGATGGTTGATCCGGCACGCGAAAATGGTAGAGGAAAGCCCACCCTCTTCTTCTTCTTCTTGTGAATCTGGGAGTAGGTCTTGGTGAAGGAGTCAGTGACTCAAGTTGCCGACGAGACCATTATTGGCGTGTGACAAAGCACCAAAGCTTAAGAAAATTGGATGTCCCCGAAGCGATTCGGGTTGTGGACTAATTGCGTTGCGGGAAAAGTGAGTATGAGGGTGGGGCCTGGGATGTTGCATTTTGTGGCATTGTATGAAGGGAAGAATTGGTTGCTTGGGGTGCATGCACGACGGGGTGGGGTGGGGCTTGTTACTTGGTGGAGGGGTGGAGGGGAAGAAGATGATTTGTTTCATTTTTTTTTAAGTTTTTAATTGTATAAAATAAATAAAAAAATTTATATTATTTAAATATTTTAAGGGCCATATTTAATTATTGTGGAGCCTAATTATGTGTCACGTTAGCACATAACAGAAATTTTAACAAAATTATGACGGAAGGACAACATTGATTTGCAACATCAATTTTCAGGGACTACATTGATTGATTTTCAATTTCAATGACCATCTTGATGACATGGATTAATTTCAGAGACAATTTGTAATAAAAACCCTTCTTTATATTAGAGAGGAAGACAAAGAGGCCGAGGCGGGATTGAGAGAGAGAGAGAGAGAGAGGAGGAGTGAAGAGGGGGAGAGAGGAAGAGTGATAGGGATAGGAAGATAGAAGGAAGCAAGGGAAGAAGGAGAGGGGGCGGAGTAAAACAATGTGAGGGAAAAGAAGAGAGCGAGGGATAGGGAGTGGAAGATGAAAAAGAACGGAGAAAACGAGGAAGAGGGTTACATAATAAAAATAAAAAATAAAAAATAAAAGGAAGAGAGGATTTTTTTGTAAAAGAATAAAAATAAAATCGTGTTTTTAATTAATTATATAAATGTTTTTTTTTAACAAATAATATTATCTACATTAAGGGAGAGATGATGAGTTAAACCTCACAATGGGTTAGTAAAAATGTAGTTCAAATTCGCCTTTGACAAAAATGGAACTAACACCTCCCACTTACAATTATCTACATTAAAGGAGAGATGATGAGTTAAGCCTCGCAATGGACTAGTAAAAATGTGGTTCAAATTCGCCTTTTTGGCAAAAATGGAACTAACACCTCCTATTTATAAGTGAAGATGAATATCATTAGACCGTAATACTAAATAGAAATGATTTAAATGTTTAAAAAAAATAAAAATTTTGCATCGAATCGCCCAATTGACAAGACAATTATTGGGAGTGGGATGGAATTGCTCTCTCTTTTTGGGTTTGTATGTGAGCAAGAATTTAAGATTTGTTCTTGGCTCGTCTATGTATGAGAGTGATCTAGGTGTATTTGAGATTCAAGTTGTGATAGCTTAAACACTTTTGTAATCTTCTTTGATAATAATGAAATTTCCTTACCGTCTTCAAACTAAAGAAGGTTCTAAGAAAGTCAAATCAGAATAAATCCTTATATTATTTTAATATAATGTGTATTGATCTCATATCCGCCACTTTCACACAAGTGGAATCAAGAGCATGTCTTCGGACGCTTCCGCACAACACCAACTCCACCCCTCCTACGTATATCATTATTATTTCCTTTTCTTTTCGGACGCTTCCGAGTTCCGACAACACCAACTCCACCCCTCCTAAATCCTAATGCATATCATTATTATTATTATTATTATTATTATTTTCTTTTCATATGAGGTGGTTTTGCACGGCAATGCAACGCTGACGTTTGAGGGTTACGTATCTTAAACCCTTATTTTGTTTTCTACCTTGATGAAAATGACTATATCGACGACCAAAGATATAATTAAATAAAAAGGTTTATATCATTCCTCGTATCTTTATTCTTAAAATACAATACTGACTCGACTTGGTCTCTTGTGGATGCGTGGGTGCAATTTGCCCCTCGTGCAGCAGATAATGTTGCTCATCGAACGTCTACATGCATCTTGTAGATCGGTGGTTTATGTAGATTGTTTATTCGATGATAGTAGAATCGTATGATTGTAATTAAAAGCACCTGAATTAAGACGTGAATGATACCAAAATTCTTTTACTTTGTAATAATGCGCATGTGCTAAGACACGAATAAAATTTTATTTAAAGTAAGATTTTCTTCCCTCTTAATCCTGTTCCTTCCCTTCCTTCTTCTCACATTTTCTTTTTTTGTTTTTCTTTCTCTTTTTATTATAATATAAATAAAATGTTGACGTCACTCAATGATAACGTTCAAAAGAAAAAAAAGAAGAAAAAGAAAAAAAATTAAAAAGAAAGAGAATCCTAATCTGTTTTTTCTTTTCCTCTGTTCAAACAATCATGTATAACTTTTTCAATAATTGGAGTGCCATTGGAGTCGAGACAAACGAATCCTGCCACAGCAAGATCATCTTTTTAGCTTTTAGTTTTCAAAAAACGAAAACATAAATATAAATATAAAACTGAAAATATTATCAAAAGAATTTTCAACCTTCGAATTCTTTTTAAATAAAAATAGTAGTCAATTAATATTATAATTTAGTAATATTCCTTTTTAATTGTAAGCGATAGCTCTTAGGTCGATTCTCGTCAAAGACGAATTTGAACCATATTGTTGCTAATCTATTATAAAGCTAAGTTTATCATTCTCTTTTAGTGTAGATAATATTGTTTGTTAAATATAAAAAATAAAAAAGCCATTGCTGGGTGAGGGAGGGCAGTTGAAGCAGACCCGTCCGGAAAAGGTGGCTGAGATGGTGATAGGTAGGCGCAAAGAGGAGTGAAAGGTTGAAGGAAGGCAGCGATAAATTGGCAGCTAGGCTTAATATAATTTAATAAAATTCTAAGGATATTGTTGTCCGGTTATTAATTTCATTAATGGGCCAAACAAATGGCTTTCAAATCTAGGTTAGAGTAGATAATCAAAACCAGATTTTTTGGACCAACAAATTTTGAGAGTTTTATCAAATATTTTATCGGCAGTTTGATAATCATTTTATTTTATGTTTTTTGTTTTTAATTTTTATTTTTTTGAAAATAAAATCTTATTTGATAACTATTTCAGGTTAAAAAAAATTGAAAACACAATGTCAAGTTTTGAAAACTCAAGCAAAGTAATTTTTAGTTTTCATTTTTTTTGAAAATAGTTATCAAACAAAATTTCAGATTTTAATTTTAAAAAAATTGAAAAAAAATCAAAATAGTTATCAAATGGCTCCTTAGAGAGCTCAAAACATAATCTAGAATCTAAAGCTAAAAGCTCTATCAAATGTCATATAACCACAGTGAGGAGTATTTTAGGATGACATATGTACAACAAATTCACAATTTAAAACAACATAAAATGGAAAATAGGAGGAAAATAAGGAAATTTAGTAATGTAAGATACTTATTTTTAGCATCCCGGAATTTAAGTTGATACACAACACACCTATTATATAAAATTAACAAAATTTCAGGGTATATTTAGAAATTAGACTTTAAACAAATTTCACAAAAATATATATATAAAAAAAAAAAAAAAAACCACCCAACCGCCTAGAGCCACCCCAATTTTTCCAGCCGTTTTGCTCAAAATCGCTTCGGTTCCAAGGTGCCTAGCGCTTAGGCGGCCGCCTAGGGCCTTTTTTAGAACACTAGTAAAATCTTATGAGATTTCAAAACACTTATATTGAAATTACATTTGTACATATATCTAGGAAGTAACAATAATATTGTCTGTTCCTAAAAAAAAAATCCGAATTTTGAGAAAAAAAAATCGTAACTAATTTATTATTCACTAAATATATCGTTATATAAAAATAAATAGATTAAAAAAGCAGAGTTCAATTGACCATTTTTTAATTTTTGGGCGGTACTACCTAGTCCAAACTGAAAGCGGATCACATATTTCTGAGGAAAACGCTGCGTTGCCTTAAACCTCGTAAACCCCTTTCTCATGGCCGCCCTGAAGCTCCTCCTCTCATCCGCTCGCCGTCACTGCCTCTTCCAACCTCACTCCCGTCTCCACCCGTCTCCATTTCTAAGCTATCACAGATCCCTAAGCTCCGAATCGGACCCAAACCCGAATCAGAACCCTCCGCAACCTCCTAGACGCCAACCAGTGCCGGTCGAACCCGTTTCATACACTCTCAAACCCAAGGAGCAATCCCTACCTGAACCAGATGCGACTCCCCAAGCAGCACAAACATCACCGCCGCCGCCACAAAGCTCCGGTGACTCGCCCAACCCATCGAGTCAGGACACTCGCGCCACCTGGACCCGTGAAGAGGCGCGATTCATCAGGGACGTGCCATCTATATCTCCGGTATCGTACCCGGTGAAAGTTGCTCCGTTACCGGAAGATCGGGTCGCGGAGGAGAGCGGAGGTGGTGAAGGTGGAGCTGGAAAGATGTGGATGGCGTGAAGGAGTTGGAGAGAGAGAAGAGGAGGATCGAGGCCGATGGTCGGATGAGAAGGAGGCTTTTTAGGGTTCCTGAGGAGGAGGTGGCAGTTCCTTTTCCCGCGTTGATTAAGGTTGAGAAGAAGGAGAGCAAGCCCATTCTCGATGTCATGGACGCAATTCGCCAAGTCAAGGTCAGTGTAACGTTTATACACTTGTTTGGTTGCTAAGAAAATGTGGGAAAGTTAAAGGAATGGAAAATTTCCTTTTCTTGTTAGATAATTTTGGATGAGATACCAAATGCCTTCTACTTAATAGAACTAATATACTGGTTATTTTCTTGGTTGCAATTTGCTTTCGTTCTCTGTTTCGATTTTGTTTCTGGAGAGCGGAGTTATTAATTAACAAAATGAAGTTTTCCTTTCTTAATTTGTTTTACGAACTTTGATTGCGATCGAGTATTAAGACTAAACTTAGGCAGGAACATCTCGAGATCATGACTGTTTTTCCCGTGCATATTGCGCTAACCGATGTTCTTGCTCTCTTAATATAGGGGGATATTGTTCTCTTTAAACTTTTATGTTGTTAATGTTTACTTAGAAGTGTTTTGCTTTATTCTGATGTACTTCTCATTTCTCATCTCTTCTTCGTGTTCTAGTTGTTTTACAGGCTAATGCCAAGTGCAATTTTGATGAAACTGTTGAAGCTCATGTACAATTGGGTATCGATGCAAAGCGAAATGTAATATGTCACTCATCTGAGTAAAATCTTCTCTTATCTCAAGCATATGTTTTTGTGTGTCAAAATAGATATTGACTTTTTCTTTAGCTATGTGAATATATAAGATCAAGTCCTGAGTTTAGATTTGCAATTCATTTCACGATCCAACAGTGTCTAAATTTAAATGATTGCCCACATGTGGTTACAGCTAGTCGTGTACTTTTTGAATAGGTGAACTCACATGTATGTGAGTGCGTGTGAGATGGCTATTTGCAGAATTGTTGAAACACTTCAAATTTGAAGGAATGACGTAAAACAAACATTAGCAAATGTTCATGAAGGTTGGACCTAAGATGATTCAGTGGCATTTCACGATTTCAATCAACTCCATGTTTTAGACTCCAGATGTTATAGTTCTTTGAAAAAAGTTATTATGCGACTAAGCTGTAACCATTATTCATAAGTTCCTTGTATTTGTTGTTTGAATGATTAATTCAGATCTTCTATGCACCCAAATATGGTTAGCCTTGACTGAGAAATATTGGCTCATTTTCTGACTACTTTTTAAGCATATTGTTGTGCTCATTTTAGTGTATCGATTGCATATTTTTAGTAAGAGTTGTATGGATTGCTTCTCAAAAGAGTGATAAAGAATATATTGTTTCTGCTTTTTACTTTATGCTTCATATTTCTTATTGCACCATTGTATTTAATGTTCCAAACTCCTGTTTGAAAGATTCAATTTACATGGACTACCTGATTGAAGTGCAGGCAGTTCGTGGTAACATGACTTTGCCGCATGGAAGTGGGAAGGTAGTTATCTTTACTTTGCTAAGTCATGTCTCATCAATTTAAAATCTAGTTGGTTACTGTATGACACTGTCATTCTTCAGGTTGTCAGGGTTGCTTTCTTTGCTGAAGGCTCAGATGCAGAAGAAGCTAGAGCTGCAGGAGCAGATATTGTTGGCGGTGTTGAACTGGTGGAGGAAATTGCAAGTAATGAGCTAACCCTTGTTGCTACTAATTACTAAATAATATGCTGAAAAGAGAAACTCCTGTTCACCTAGATATACTATGCAATGATATTGCCATTTCAATTATTTGAGTTTTGGTTTTGCAATTTTTTTTGTATTGTAAATGTGTTTTTGTGGGTTTATGTGCATCTTACATTGCTTGAGTTCAAAGAAGCAGTCAAACAATTTATGATCTGACCTTGTATCATGCAGGCAGTCATAAGCTCAATGTTGACAAGTGTTTTGCAACAAATGAAATGATTATGCGTCTGGCAAAGGTTTTTGAGTTGTAATTTTTTACTTGCAGGATTATCATCTTTTTTGTTTCATTAATTGAAAGCGAATGTTTAATATTTAACAGATTGCAAGAATTCTTAGAGAGCGTGGTTTGATGCCTGACCGTAAAGTGAGTTATATTGTTGTAAATTTTTATTCAGTTTGCAGATTTGTGGGCAAATCCCTAATATTTGGTATACTATGTATTGTATAGCTAGGTACTGTCACCAATGACATTACTGGAGCACTACAGAAAGTAAGACAAGGTCATATTGAGTATAGAATGGACAGAACATCAATTGTACATGTGGGACTTGGAAAGGTACCATAATCTTATTACAAACACAAGGTTCTATTTTCAGATGTTTTGTTTGCTGGAGACATGGACTTCACTCTTATTCTTTCTTTTCAGGTGAGCTTTACAGAGGATTATCTGCGTGAGAACATCGGAGCATTTATGAGTTCTCTTTTGCTGGCAAAGCCTACGGGTTTAAAAAAGTGTAAGTGGCACAAATCTAATTATAGCATGTTCTGCAAAATCTGTTGGAAGAAATGAGCTCATTTTCTTTAGGTGTATCTAATATTTTCCATGCTGCCCACCATTAAGAAGAAAATTGAAGAGTTCTTTAAGATACTGCAAAGAACAGTTGCGGAAGGAGGTCCGACTGTTCACCAGATTATGCACTTTTAATCAATTGATGAGAATTTTTGTTTGCATGCTTTTCGCTAAGTATCGGATTGGACTTCTTCTTTTGCTTAAAAGTTATACATCTTTTTTCACGTTCATTAAACCATTTACAATTTTCATTTTCACAGCTTCCAAGTATGCGGGTTATATTAACTCCTTCCATATATGTAGCACGGTGAGCTCTTAACCCTTGTTTTTGTATTTAGTTATTTGTACCTTAACATTCGATGCACGGATGCTTCATACTTTAGTTAAATGCAGCCTTGTATAATTGAACCTAATCCAGTCCGTTATTATGTGCAGATGGGTCCAGGATTTCCGGTTTCAATACAGTCGTTATCCAAAGCTGCAGATCACTACAACAAAGTGCACCTTAAGGCTTAAGTGACGCGCTCTGTTAACATTTCCGACCTAGATCAAAGGTTCACTTTATTTTCTCTGTTAATTTTTTACTGTTTTTAGGCAGTGAGGGCTCTCGGAGCGGATGTTGATTGACTAAAATTGACTGGTAGATTGACGGGGTTCCGTGAGTTCATATCTTGTCTTGCTTATATCTGCTGGTCGTCTGGTGCTTTTGCAAAATGGCATTTAGCTCAACTGCTTCATCATCATCAGGATCTTCATGTTTCTCTGCAGTATTTCTGTTTTCCGATTTGGCTGAGGATGTTCAACATACTCTTCTATGTGTAAATGCAATAATGTTCTTTGACTATATGGAAAACGTAGAGGTGAGACGGGTCCTTATCGGTCACTCCGAACTTGCTTTTTGACAAGAAATATTTTTTGCTCACTGCCCCTAAGTGGATGTGATGCCCATCACTCTGTTGAGTGTTGTTAGATGAGTTTAAATTGTGAGAGTTGTGTAGTAGGGTTGAATCAAAATTATTTAACGGTAATCAGTAAGGTGGTGAGCATCACCATCACTTAAAGTTGGTGAGCGAAATGCGCTCGTTACAAGGCCGAATAATTTTGGTATTAAATGTGTTCATTTAGACAAGTCTGAATGGTTGGGTAGATAATTTAGTTGTTTATTATTAGCTAAAGATCATATCTAGAAAAGTTTATTTGATTTTGGACCGTCAGCTTGGGACAAACTAATTAGCGTTTAATTTCCTTATGATGAACTATCAATTTATTTGATTCATATGAAAGCTTAAATAGTTTGGACTTTGTATATTGAAAGAGGTTTTTCACAACAAAATAAAAAAGAACTTTATAAGTTTCAAATTTTGACCTTTGTCCAGTGAATGTTGACATTTCGTCATGTAAGGACGAATGATAATTAACTGTTGATAAATTTTTACGTAAAATTATCGTTCTATAGTTTGACACATATCAATTAATTAGAATAAAAACTCATACCAACTAAATGAAGACACGAAGTAGCGTTGTTTTGATGAGATCATTTTAATTAAACAACAATATAGTGAACATGAAATGTGGACAGCTGCCAAGAGTGCATGGCGAGAAGCATTTCATCAAGTACTTGATGGGCAACATGGATTACACCCCAACCTTCTACATGGTCACCGGAAGAGCGACCCAACCATTTTTCTAGCCTTCACGAGGTCGCATGACCTCTGGTTCCTGATGACCTTGTCCTCCAGGAGAATACGACCAAAAAAGGCAAAAGTTTTATTTTAATAATTTTGCCATTTCACTGTCGTATTTCCTACTCCTTAGTTCGTACATTAATGAATGCAAGGGCTGAATGCCCAATCTTCCTGTTATACTCGTATAGTTTGTCTTCACGTGGAGGCTCTCTTAAAAGTAGGAATCTTTCTGTCATATTTTGAATAGATACACATCTACATTCAGTCTCGAAAAAGCCCTTCTTAGGCCTTAGTCAATGCTTGAATGCGCAAAGCCGAAACTCAAGGCAGGGCAGATAACCTTCTAACTAAGGCCAATAGATATCCTATTTTTCGGATTTCTAGCTAGCTCTCAATCATGCCTTTCCATAAAAAAAAGATGCATGATGTGTTGTTTTGGTCCGGAAGAAGAGGTTTGGATCATTAGAACTGGCATCTGTTCGTTGGATCAATTGCAGTGTGAGGGTGTTCGTAGATCAGAGCTGGCATTGCTCGGAAAGTCATGTTTTTTGCACATATTTTATAATGTTGACACGAGAATTAACATTAAACTATGAGATAGCAGAGAGGGTTGAAAAATATTAGTATTTCATGGTTATTTGATTATGGGAGGTTTAACAAAACACTTTCGGTATTGTTCACTTTTAACGAAAAACTACATTTATACGTTTTCTTAGTACTATTCACTATATCTTTAAAAATAGCTTTTCATTAAAAGGGAAGTTTTTTTTTTTTTTAATTTTTCGTTAGTTTTCTTTTTGATTATTTGGGTTTGCTTGTTGTTTAATATATGGGCCTAGCCCATCCAAATTGGAGTTTCTAGGTTTTGTTCTCTATAAATATAGCTTACAGTTTATTATGAATAATAAGTTAGTCATGATGTAACCTCTAGAGATTTTGTAACAATTAAACATTCTTGTTTATCTAATAATAACATTATTATCTTGTAGTCTTGCTCTGATATTTATATAGAATTCATAAATAGTCTTACTTTGAAAAAAATCATATTTTGAAAAAATCTATTTAGCATTTTTCTTTAACTTATAGGCAATCAAGCTGAAGGACAGAAGGGACACATTATTCCAGGCAAGTAACGTACTCTCACAAAAGTAAAATGGCCAAAATATCTTAGATATTTTGTCTTCAGCTGAGATTTTTACTTTATCATATGATCTGATGGGTGGGAAGACTGGACAGTCAAAAGCAATTATTCATTATTCAGTGCAATTATTCATACAAAGTTTAATAAAATATTTTTGATATTATTCATTTTTAAAGAAAAATTATATTTATATATTTTTTTGATACTATTTATTATATCTTTGAAAAAAAATTCATTGAAAAAGAAGTTTTTTTAAACTTTTCGTTAATTTTTCTATTATTCATTATGATCAAATAAGAACCCAATGCTTTTTGCAAGTATTAAACTAATAACAACGAGCAAGGCTTGGCCCCTTAAGGGGGCTCCTTCTCAATTCACTAAGTGGCCGATTCACAGAATTTGTGTTTATAATTAAAATTGTTTATGTTATCAATCTCTTTGTAAAGATTATTTTTGAATTTTTCTAATTAAAACTAAAATTATTTAATTAATTAATTCTAACTAATAAATAGACGGTTTTTACTACTTTTAATGCAGACACACCTAAATTATATAAACAACCATTGAATATCATCCTTTATGTTTTATTATTTTTGCTTGTCAGGAGCTGCTTGCAATATTTTAACAATGTGGGCTTGACATGTCCACAGAAAAAGAAAATTTGTGGTTAAAAGTTTGGACAAATCATAGTTTTGCTTTAAATCATTAATTTGATAATCTTCTTTTTGTTCAAATGGTTTTTTCCGTACTCGATTTGAGATGTCCAGTCGTACACTTTTCAATTATCATTGTTTAATTTTGTTTGGGCTCTAAGCCCCGTTTTCAACCAAAAAATAATAATTGATGTTCAAATGGCGATAACTAATAAGAAAATGTCAAGGTGAAAACAAAGCCAAACGTAAACAAATCAAATTATTTGGAATTTGGTTCTCTTTGGTCCAATACTACACATTCCAGTGTCAAATAATTTGTTTTTGAACTGTTTAAACAGGTTTTTTCCCTTCTTATAGTTTATAACGGTACATTCAGAAATCGTTTTAAATATTTTTATTTAAAATTAAACATGAACAGTACCTAACGAGAACTGATCGTATAATATATAATGAACGGACACGATTTGGGATTCTCGGAATCCTCATAAGGAGGATTATGAGAGATCATCATTCCTTTAAGAACCTAGCTTCTCTGCCCTCTCACTTCCCTTACACTCTCATCCTACCTATTTGTGCGGTCATGATTAAGCTATGTCAACATTTTATATTACTATTTCTTTTTGTCTTATTATCTCTATTAAAAAAAAATTAATATAAAATATTGACGTGACTTAATTGTAACCACATAAAATAAAAAGAGGTGAGAATGTATGAAAAATGAAAGGGTAAAGAAGCCGCGTGCTTCCTTTAAATCTTATAGACGGTATATGTTAAAAAAATATCTTATAAACTATTAAATAAATAAAAATAAATAAATTTGAATAAAAAAAGAAAGTGCATTAATTACAATGGTGCAATTCTAAACTATTATAATAATTGCACTGTTTTCCGCGCCACAAATCAAGAAAAATACAAAAACGAGAGTGAGAGAGAGAGAGAGAGAGAGACTTCAAAGCTTCAATGCGAGATTCTTCCATCTCCACTGACTTGTATTGGGGATAGGGTTAGGGTTAGGTTTGCCCGTTTGAAATTTATCTGCAAACAGATGGAGTCGGAGGAAGAGTACAGAAGGAAGGAGCGCATGGCATTGTTGGTGATTGTGGTGCTTGCTTCACTGTCCGTCGCTTCATTACTCGTCGCCTTCAGCTACTACTGCTACGTCCGCAACAAGGTCGCCAAGCGCCTCCAGAACCACAAGGGTGAGAACACTACTCTCTGTTTGTTTGCTCAGAAAATGCATGAAAGTGAAAGAAAAAAACCAGAAATTTCTTCGTTTTAAACATTTTTTTAGTGTTGATTTCTAGGTTGGAGTTGAATTTTTTGTTTATAAGAGTTTTTGAGGTCACCCAGTTAATTACATTTGAAATTTTGTTAAGGAAGCACTTGTTAATTTGATAATTTCTGTTGGGTTTGGTGTGGAAACTTAAATTTAAGGACATAACGGCAAAAAGTTTGAGTCTTTGTTCTATAATTGTGTTGGATTAAAATTGGGATTTGTCAATTGGGGATAGACTGTTTTTTGATCTGTGGTTTAATTCTGTTTCTTTGAAGGGTCTGACCCTGAGAACAAAGGTGGTTTTTCAAATTTGCAAGTTGCTTCCAATAAAGGACTTCAGGTCTTCACATTCAAGCAACTACATTCCGCAACTGGTGGTTTCAGCAAGTCAAATGTCGTTGGCAAGGCAGCTTTGGGTTAGTGTACCGAGGTGTTCTCCATGATGGGAGGAAAGTTGCGGTTAAGTTTATGGACGAAGCAGGAAAGCAGGGAGCAGAGGAATTCAAAATGGAGGTTTGAATCTTAGTCTACATCATGTTTACTTTGGCTCTGTTAGGTTCTGCGAGTGGGAGAAAATGGTTGAAGTTCACAGTTCCGTCTTTGTCCCTTGTAAGATGAACAAATAGGCTCACCTGAAGCAAAGGATTTTGGTAGAATTTGGTTCAAATGATAGCTCATATTCTCATACCCAAGCCACTGAATGATGCAATTAGTTTTTATTTCCTCACTTATCCGTCAGCAATAACTGAAAAATTAAATTAGCTTTGTAGATCGTTTATAATTGGTCATTGATTGGTTGATAATTAAATGCAGGTGGAATTGCTAAGTAGGCTGTGCTCTCCATATTTGCTGGCACTACTTGGGTATTGCTCAGATAACAGTAGTCATAAGTTGCTGGTGTATGAGTTCATGGCAAACGGTGGTTTGCAGGAACATTTGTATCCTGTCAATGGTAAGCATAACGTGTCTAGTAACTCTTTTATTTTTTATTTTTTTCTTTCCAAATGCTTCCTTGTTACCTTCTTGTTTCTGATGTCGTATGTTTGTTTGGGCGTAGAAAGATATAATGAACACCCACTTTACTTTGCAATTTATATCATATGGTCGTATTTCATCTTCATTATGTGA